ATATACCTTAAACGTATTACATAAACATATTACACATGTCCTTATAGCATTATCACAGAAACTTCCTCATCTTAATTATGTTTTATTTATATTCCCACGATTGACAATGATCTTTCAAAAACACCTATGTAAAACAGAATTTTAACAGGGCAGAGAAACTCACATATTGATGCAAAATTGTTCCTCTGCATATTCTTCAGGTTCATGGTTCTCCTGGAAAGCATATAAATAATACATTTTCTGAGTTCCTCAGCTACATATCTAGGGGGGGAGCAACTTTATTGTAACATCAGATGCTGGAAACAATTCGACCCCCAAACAACTTCTTAAAAAATTAAAATCCTGCTATGTTCATTCTTTGGAAAGGTGCTAATCATTAAAACCAGTGATTCTTTTTTAATGTCTGCATTATATTAATAGTTTCAAAACTACATCATACTTCGGTAGTTTTCACTTAGAAAAGAAAAAAAGAACTGTAAGAACTGAAATTGCACCTCTAACAGGAATCTCTACACTCCCCCCCCCAGTACTTTTCCTGTCTCACTTTAGTCAGTGACATCTTATCTTGTGTTCCAATGAGTTGTCCAGGTCTCCTCTCCATTAAATACTGGAGCAGCTTCTGTCTATCAAGCAAATCTCCACTTGGCAGGGACAAACTGTGGAGAACCCCTGGATAGAACAAAACAGCAGTCAAGTTTGCAACAAGCCATCACATAAGAGAAAAAAACCAACCAATAAGAGTGCACAGTCATCTTGCAAGGATGTTAATGAACACAACACCATTAGCAAGGGGAAACCATGGCCAAGTCAAAACAACATTGAAAAACAGAGGGTCCTTCCCAGAAATTGTGGGAATTCTAATAATCTACATAGGTGCATGAAATAGGACCTTTGTAAAAATGGAGCATAGAGTGACAGACATTATATCTCAGGGAAAGTTAGTAAATTCCTATCAAGGACATGTTCATTACTCAGGAAAATTTCAGAATGATCTCTGAGTATTCCAAGGCAATCTCCCTCTAGGATACAGCCTGAAGGAACAAGACCCTGACAGTCTCTGGTAGATAAAAATGCAGAAAAATTCAGAATGAAGGGGAAATTGCACCATAAATGAAGGTAATCCAAGGTGGTCCTGAGAGAGAGAACCCAATTCTATGCAGAACATGATGGGGAGACATAGATGGCAACTCAGAAGCAGAAGGACTCTGGAAAGCAGGAGGCAATGGATATCTGTGTCTCAATTCTAAGCTGTTTGGTCTAATGTAAACCCTCTGGACTGTCACACATGACAATGTCATCATGGTTGTGTCTGGAGGGGGTAGTTTGGAATGGAGAGAATGGGGTAGAAATATCCTCCCCATCCATACTTCTCAATGACACTATTCCCAGCACCCTCAACATAAGGGCTGCATTTATTCTCCTACCTGAATCAACCAAAAACAAAAAGTGGGCAAAATATATTACAAAAATTAAACCAGATGGAAATACATGAATGATAGTGATGCAACAAAGAACTGTTAATACAAGGTGCAGGGTGGGAACGAGCATTCTAGAGAGGATAGACAGACATAAGGGACCAAAACATGGACAGAAGGAGAAACAGTAAAGCCAGAGATAATGAGACACAGTGAACAAACCCTCCAGGAATCCAAAAGTGATATGAGGACTGGGGTGGAACTGGCCTTCTCACAGGATGAAGGATGGAGACCAAAACTCTGGGGCTGATAGCTGAGTGCTCTCCTTAACTGTCTCTTTCTCTTACTCCATGGCCAATTAGTCAGCAAGTCTTGCCAGTTACAAGTTCAGGACACACCCAGAAATCAACCATTTCTCACCCCTTCACTGCTGCCACCCTGGACTGGGCTCCTATCAGTTTTCACTTGGACATCAGCAAGAATCTTCTTACCTTCCAGATTCCAAGCTCCCATATCCCTATCCCACTCCTAACTATTCTCCACACCAGAGTCAGTCAGAGAATCCTTTACCATGTGGAGAAAGAGAGGATTGTTGCTGGTTTGTGGTCTGTCTTCCCTCCTCAAAGGCAAGACCCATGAAGTCAAGTTCTTCTATTTCTGTTCATTGCTGTATTCACAGAGACCAGACAAGGCTATACTTTGTGCAGTTAGAACCAAATAAATATTCATTAATGAATTACACAGTTATAAAACTGTACACTAGACTTCTGAGTAAAGAATAAAGGATCTGTATTTTGTATTCATTTGTGGGTCTTCAGAATGGTTAGGGTCTAGAAATCATGTCTTTTTTTTTTTTTTTTTTTGTCATCATCACTGAGACTACAATGGCCTATTCATAACGTTCACTGCATGAACTAGTGGAAACAATGTCCGATAGTTTGACTACATTACATGGTGCCTAGAACTGGCTGGGGCAGAATATGGATGCTGTTCTGTCCCCATGTAAAAGAGCAGGTAAATATAAAGAGTAGAGTTCATAAGCAACAGCCAGTCTGCAGGAAAACCATTATTCAACATGGGCTGAATGAATACTACACCAGTGACACACAGTGCAGAGGTGACGAAGAAAACTCTTGTCTTCGAGGACTAAGAAAATTGTAGGCATCTCGGCTTCTTCTAGCTTGTGAACAAGTACCATGGTGGTATACATGTTCTGAGGGAGATGCACACGGGGAACATTGGGAGCCACGAAGAAGTAAGTGATCATCTTAGCTGAGGAGGCCACGTGGTCAAGGAAGGACTTATGAGAAAGTTTTTACCTGAGCTGAACCAAGGCTTAGGACGATGTCTAACAGATGAGAAAAGGCACATTGATGGAAAAAGGCAGAGACTGTGTGAAGGCCCAGCACACATGGTTGCCTTCCCGAGTTGATCCTGGGAGGAAGTTAACAAAATGAGGAAGGACAGGAAACCCTTATAGCACACATTCCTCTAAGAACAGTACCTGTGCTTTCCAACGCTCATGGACACTCCTCCTCTGAAACTACCATTTCCCCCTAGAAAGGTGACAAATAAAGGGGCTTAACAGAGTTGAAAACACGGGGATACAAAAATCAGAGAAGGGAATCAACTATCTAGCTTTCACTCCAGTTTATGGGAGTACTGATGTATGTGTGTAGAGTGTGGTGTTCTCTGTTATCATCAGCACTTACAAGGAACAATGTCGGTTCACACCAGCTCTGTCTCAAAGCATGACATGGCTGCCGGGAGGCTCCATGTGGGTCAACACAGTCTTCTTCCTGGTTGTGCAGTTCCTGAGGCATTCCATTGGAGTTCAACTCCTTTGTTCCAAATACACTTTGTACAAAGAAACGGACAGAATATGAAACAGAGATAATGTTTTCAGGAAAGCATAATGGTTCTTATTTTCCAATTAAAACAGAAAACCAGAAGGGTGGCAGAGTGGCAATAAATTTGCACTATTTTGACAGGGACTACATTCTAGTCACAGTTAATCCCCACAGTCAAGGTCCACAATGGCTCAATGTAAGTAAGTTCTTGGGACAGTAGGAGACACACATGTGTCAAGCCTCCTAATGAGCCTCAGTAATGCAGGAAAACAATTCTCAACAAAAGGAGATTCCACAGTGTCAGGTACACTCTGTAGCAATGTGGGCAGGTGTAGCAGGAGAAATGGGTCCTCTCCATGCACTGGTGACAAGGAAAGAAGGCTCCTGGTTGGAGAAAAAGAGCAGCTGCTGTTCCCAGGTGGTGACTGCAGCTCACAGCTGTTAGCAGTGGAACTGAGTGGAGAATGTGGGAGTTATGGGCATAGTCAGAGGCTGGCCACTTGACATAAGCCTGGTGCCTGAGTGTCGGATTTGTTCGTGCACAGGTTTCTTCTGCAACAGAACAGCTCCCCCCATGCTGTTCTTCCTCCTGGTGCCTCGCATCTTCCATGGACAGGTCTTTCTGAGCTTCTAATTCAACCTTCTCTGGTCTACCTCTTACTGCCTTTGGTTCTCTTCTCCACAGACAGCAGAAATGGTTCCTGAAAAACAAGGGAGTTCTTCTCTTTTTTGGAACAAAGAATTCTTGGGTCAAGAGGGTTTGTGGATGAGGCTTGCAGCAAGTAGATTCTTTCTGCTCTATCAGATCTTCCTCCAGCTGATGCTTCCTACTGCTACCTTCAGAGCTGTCAGTCATTAAAACCAGTGATTACTGATGCAGGCAGCAACATGACTGTATCCACAAGGACTGATTCTGGTGCAAAGAAGGCCCACAAAGAAAATACATAGAGTAAAATGACCCATTAATGAATTATACAAAATTAAAGCTAGTATAAGGTGACATGAGAAAGAACAATAGTTACGTGGGGACAGGATAAACAAGGGAAAGGGAAGGAGGAATTCCAGGAGTAATGCTGAAAATTTTAAGGAGAACTGGAACACTCACTGTCAGTAATGTTGATTTTGACACCTATGTTTGTTATATCACACACTCCGTATGTGGGTCATTCATCTTGTGTCGAATATACACATCAAACTTATTTTAGGTAATAACAAAGGTGATCCTGGAGGAAAGCAGAGAGAATGGAATGTTACAGATATGAAAATACACCTACACGATACTGATTTGCTCTGTATTTATGATAAACTATAAAATAAAGAAATTCAATCCATCCCCATTAGAGGAGGGATTCCACATTCCTCATAGCCTGACACTCTGTCCTGCAGATATTCAGGGTGGAGGGCAGCAGCTCCTGTGGGGGTAGCACTGACCAAGATCCTGGGGTCAATCTGACCCCATATGTGTTCATGGACACCTTACAAACCCAAGTATACACACTGGAAATTTATATAATGAAAACTTTTTTTTTTTCCAAAATTTGTCATTAGCACTAAATAGATTAAAGGCATTCCAACAGCTTGGGTCACTGCCTCTCTGTAAGAATAGATCCCCAAGCTGAATATATAGCCAGAGGACATGCAAATAGGGCCTTCTCTCTGCTGATTTAACCAGCACAGCCAAGATCCTGCAGCTGGGAGAGGAGCCCCAGGCCTGGGATACCCAGGTATTCATTCAGTGATCAGGACAGAATACAGACAATTCACCATGGAACTTGTGCTGGGCTGGGTTTTCCTTCTTGCTCTTTTAAAAGGTAATTTATGGAGAAAAATAATTGAGTATGTGAGTGGATATGAGTGAGAGAAACATTGGGTATGTGACAGTTTCTTTACTGATATGTCTTGTGTCTGCAGGTGTCCAGTGTGAGGTGCAGCTGGTGGAGTCTGGGGGAGACCTGGTGAAGCCTGGGGGATCCCTGAGACTCTCCTGTGCAGCATCTGGATTCACCTTCAGCAACTACTACATGTACTGGGTCTGCCAGGCTCCAGGGAAGGGGCTGCAGTGGGTCGCAAGTATCAGAAGTGGTGGAGGTAACACATACTATGCAGACTCTGTGAAGGGTCGATTCACCATCTCCAGAGACAACGGCAAGAACACGTTGTATCTGCAGATGAAGAGCCTGAGAACCGAGGACATGGCCCTGTATTACTGTGCGAAGGACACAGTGAGGGGACATCAGTGTGAGCCCAGACACAAATCTCACTGTAAGACGGGATCTGGACCACCAGGGGGTGAACACCACTCACCAATCCTGTCTTTAAGCCCCAGGAGCAGATGCAGATGAAGGTTAGGGGTAGGTTTCCCTTCAGGATCTAGTGATTCCTCTCCAGAGAACACTTTCCCTCAGGGACATTCTCTGCACACATGATTCTGTGCTTACCTCTTCACTCTCTGACTTTAAAAATTTGTTCTAATGGGAAAACAATTATACTAAAATGCACAAAATAGAGAGTCACTCAGGTTGTACATTCCTGTCCCTAAGTACCAATGAAACATAAATATCCTGGTGCTCATCAGGTTAGCCTTTACAGGACTCTTAGCTGCTCTCACTGTACATCACAGGTCCACCCTGCTCAACGTGCAAACTCCCTAGAAGCAGCATAAAGTGCACGCTGGACATGAGGCCACCAGAGGCATCAACAATCTACAGCAAAAGAAGAAAGGGTCTTGGTTGGGGCATCACTGTCTTTTACAATGCTCACAGCATCAATTTTAGTGACAAAATGGGAAAGCAGTGGAAATCCCTTCAGTTGTGAATGTGTAGTCTGGACATAATACACACACATGCACAAACACACACACACACACACAAACACACACAAATACACACACACATGAATATGAAAAATTTTCACTTTCCCCTAATTTCTCTGCAGCAAAAGTTGTACTAAGACAAAAATACACAGCATACAGGAAAACCTCAAGAAGCAAGAAAAATCTGAATGAAACACTCTAACCTTACACCTGAAGGATCTAGAGAAGGTTGATGACTAAAGCCTAAATACAGGAGAAGGAAGGAAATAGTAAAGACTAGAGCAGTAATAAATGATATAAAAACAAAACAAAAACAAACAAACAAACAAAACAGAACAAAAAAGCAAGGTCTAGTTTTCTGGAGAAAAAGAAAGAACAATAAAATTGAAAAACCTCTGCCTATATTTATCAAAAAGGAGAGAGAAAACCCCAAATAAATGATATCAGAAATCAGTATGTTTCTCTGTGGAACAAGCAGGGTTTTGGAGGGATAAGAGGGGGTGGGATGGGGAAACTCGGTGATGGGCAATAGGGACACATGATGGTTGAGCACTGGGTGTTACACGCAAATAATGGATTTTTGAACACTACATCAAAAAATAATGATGTAGGAGGAAGACAAGATGGCGAGGAAGTAGGAGGAGGCGCCATTTCAACCTGTACCCTAAAATGAGCTGATTACCTACCAATGAACTCCGATCACCCATGAAATCAGCCTGAGATTAGAATCATACACGTCTGGATCTCTACAGGGGCAGAAGACGCCAGTGGGCAGAAACGTACCAGGGTACACCTTGACTGCACCATGGTCGATACATCCAGCTACATCCGTTCAGCCATCTCTTACTGAAATGACTAGGAGGAGGAATGCCCAACAGAAGAAAAATTCAGAGGATGGGACTTCTGCAACAGAGCTAATGGCTATCGACATAGACAACATGTGGGAAAGGGAATTGAGGCTAACAATTATCCAGGCAATAGCTAGGTTGGAGAAAGCCATGGATGACCAAACGGAATTGAATGGGGCCAAACTGAAAGCCACCAGGGATGAGGTTCACAATGCTCTCAATGAGTTCCAATCTAATCTAAATTCTCTCAAAGCTAGAGTAACTGAGACAGAAGATAGAATTAGTGATCTGGAGGACAAACAGATAGAAAGCATCAGGGGGAAGCCTGGAACAAACAGCTCAGAAGCCACGAAAACAAAATTAGGGAAATAAATGATTGCAAGAAACGTTCCAACATCAGAATTATTGGAATTCCTGAAGGGGAGGAGAAAGAAAGAAGTCTAGAAGATATAGTGGAACAAGTTCTCCAGGAAAATTTTCCCAATCTTGCGAATGGAACCAGCGTTCATGTACTAGAGGCCGAACGGTGCCCCCCCCCCAAGATTAGAGATTCTAGAAAGTCCTCGAGACGCCTGATAGTAAGAATGAGGAATTATAATTATAGACAGGTCCTCCTGAAGGCAGCTAAAACAAAGAAGCTCCTACGTACAGAGGAAAGCCCATCAGAAAAACGTCAGACCTGTCCACAGAGACATGGCAAGCCAGAAAGGGCTGGCAAGATATATTCAGGGAACTAAATGAGAAGAACATGCAGCCAGGAATAATTTATCCAGCAAGACTGACATTCAAAATGGATGGAGAGATAAAGAGCTTCCAGGAACGGCAAGGTTTCAAAGAGTATGTGACCACCAAGCCCACACTGCAGGAAATATTAAGGGGGGTTCTATAAAAGAGGAAAAACCTAAGAATAGCATTGAACAGAAATATAGAGACAATCTACAGAAAGAAAGACTTCAAAGGTAACACGACATTAATAAAAATGTATCTAACAATAACCACTCCCAATGTGAATGGCCTAAATGCACCCATAAAATGACAGAGGGTGGCAGACTGGATAAAACGACAGGACCCATCCATATGTTGTCTACAAGAGACCCATTTCGAACCTAAGGATACACCCAGACTGAAAGTGAAGGGATGGAGAAAAATCTTTCATGCCAATGTGCCTCAAAAGAAGGCCAGGGTAGCAATTCTCATGTCAGATAAATTAGATTTTAAACGAAAGACTGTAGTCAGAGATACAGAAGGACACTACATCATTCTTAAAGGGACGATCCACCAAGATGATCTAACAATTGTAAATCTCTATGCCCCCAATATGGGTGCAGCCAATTACATGAGAAAACTATTAATCAAGATAAAGAATCATATTGATATGAATACATTAACAGTAGGAAATCTGAACATGCCTCTCACAGTAACAGACAGATCATCAAAGCAGAAAATCAATAAAGAAACAAGAGCATTGAATGACACATTGGACCAGATGGATCTTATAGATATATATGGAACATTCCACCCTAAAAACACAGAATACTCATTCTTCTCGAGTGCACATGGAACTTCGCTAGAATAGACCACATACTGGGTCACAAATCAGGACTTAACTGATACCAAAAGACTGAGATTTTTCACTGCATATTCTCTGACCACAATGCTTTGAAACTGGAGCTCAATCACAAGGAAAAGTTCAGAAGGAACACAAACACCTGGAATCTAAAGACCACCTTGCTTAAGAATGCTTGGATCAACCAGGAGATCAATGAATAACTTAAACGATTCATGGAAATCAACTAGAATGAAGACACTTCGGTCCAAAACCTATGGGATACAGCAAAGGCAGTCCTAAGGGGCAAATACATAGCCATCCATGCATCCCTCAAAAAAATTGAAAAATCCAGAATGCAACAGCTGTCTCTACACCTTAAAGAACTGGGGAATCAACGACAAATCAAACCAATTCCACACATAAGAAGGGAAATAATCAAGATTAGAGCAGAGATCAATGAGGTAGAAACCAGAGATACAGTAGAATGTATCAATGAAACTAGAAGCAGGTTTTTTGAAAGAATCAATAAGATCGATAAACCATTGGTCACACTAGTCCAAAAGAAAAGAGAGAAAGCTCAAATTAATAAAATTATGAATGAAAAGGGAGAGATCACAACTAACACCAAGGAAGTAGAAACAATCATCAAAAGTTATTATCAACAGTCATATGCCAATAAGTTAAGCAACCTAGATGATGTGGATGCATTCCTGGAAAACTATAAACTCCCAAAATTGAACCAGGAATAAACTGACAACTAGAATAGAACGATATCTAGTAATGAGATTGAAACAGTGATCAAAATCCTCCCAAAAAACAAAAGCCCAGGACCTTACGGATTCCGTGGAGAATTCTACCAAACTTTCAAAGGAGAAATAACACCTATTCTCCTGAAGCTGTTTCAAAAAATTGAAGCAGAAGGAAAACTTCCAGACCCTTTCTATGAAGCCAGCATGACCCTGATCCCCAATCCAGGCAAAGACCCTACCAAAAAGGATGATTTCTGACCAATATCACTGATGAATATGGATGCTGAGATTCTCAACAACATCCTAGCAAATAGGATCCAACAGCACATTAAAAAGTTGATCCATCATGACCAGGTGGGATTTATCCTGGAGTTACAAGGATGGTTCAACATTCACAAATCAATCAATGTGATAGAACAAATCAATAAGAGAAGAGAGAAGAACCACATGGTCCTCTCAATTGATGCAAAAAAAGCATTTGACAAAATCCAGCATCCGTTCCTGGTAAAAACACTTCAAAGTACAGGGATAGAGGGAACATTCCTGAACCTCATAAAATCTATCTATGAAAGAACCACAGCAAATATCAACCTCAATGGGAAAAAGCTCGCAGCCTTCCCGTTTAGATCAGGAACACGACAAGGATGCCCACTCTCACCACTTAGCCACAGCAATCAGCAAACAAAGTGAAATAAAAGGTATCCAAATTGGCAATGAAGAAGTCAAACTCTCTCTCTTCGCAGATGACATGATTCTTTATATGGAGAACCCAAAAGACTCCACCCCCAACCTACTAGAACTCATACAGCAATTCAGTAACGTGGCAGGATTCAAAGTCAATGTACAGAAATCAGTGGCATTCTTATACACTACCAATGAAAATACAGAAAGGGAAATTAGAGAATCGATTCCATTTACTATAGCACCAAGAACCATAAGATACCTGGGAATAAACCTAACCAAAGAGGTAAAGGATCTGTACTCGAAGAACTACAGAACACTCATGAAAGAAATTGAAGAAGACACAAAAAGATGGAAGACCATTCCATGCTCTTGGATCAGAAGAATACACATTGTTAAAATGTCTATACTGCCTAGAGCAATCTATACTTTTAATGCCATTCCAATCAAAATTCCACCGTTATTTTTCAAAGAGCTGGACCAAATAATCCAGAAATTTGTATGGAATCAGAAGAGACCCCGAATCATTAAGGAAATGTTGAGAAACAAAAATAAAACTGGGGCATCACATTACCTGATTTCAAGCTTTATTACAAAGCTGTGATCATCAAGACAGCATGGTACTAGCATAAAAACAGACACATAGACCAGTGGAACAGAGTAGAGAGCCCAGATATGGACCCTCAACTCTATGGTCCAATAATCTTTGACAAAACAGGAAAAAATATACAGTGGAAAAAAGACAGTCTCTTCAATAAATGGTGCTGGGAAAACTGGACAGCTATATGCAGAAGAATGAAACTCAACCATTCTCTTACACCGTACACAACGATAAACTCAAAATGGATAAAAGATCTCAACCTGAGACAGGAATCCATCAGAATCCTAGAGGTGAACATAGTAACCTCTTCGATATCAGCCACAGCAACTTCTTTCAAGATATGTCTCGAAAGGCAAAGGAAACAAAAGCGAAAGTGAACTTTTGGGACTTCATCAAAATCAAAAGCTTCTGCACAACAAAGGAAACAGTCAGGAAAACAAAGAGGCAACCCACGAAATGGGA